GAGAGTGGGAGCTAACTTCAGAGGGCGACCCTAAACTGGACGAACTGCCCTCGGTACCACAAACCTGCCCTGGCACCCGAAGACTGTCGTCGCGACAAAAATTCAACTCGTCGGCCCAAGGGTCCTCTTCGGAACAGATGGAGGCCTCATCGAGATCTAAAGTGGTACCTACCGAGACCGCCTGCCTACTCAGAGGATCTCCTGAACCAGAGGGGCGTGTCTTTTTCTCATCGAGCGCTTGCGAAACATCGCCAAACATGTCGCCGTACCTCTCCTCACGCTTCTGAGCAGCAGCTAGCCCAGTGAGCACGCGTTCCTGTCTCGAACGACTCGACTTGGATTGCGGATCGGGTTCCTGACCTGGGCGAGGTACCTGCGGCAACTTGACAGCTGTCGATAACACTCGCGTTAAAAGCTGTGCTCCCGATTGCCGAAACTGCACCTTCAAACCCACGTGAGTCTGCCACGGAACTGCAAACAACGGCTCGACTGACTTGATAAAACTGAGCGCTGATGTAGAACAGACCACATAGTCGATATGCGAACCTTGCGCACCAGAGCTGCACGTGTACTGCACATTGGCGGTGAGGATGTGGCCCCCGACTCTGCTCACAAACTCAGCTTTGGACAAGGCCGCGGCGCTCACGTTGAAGTCCGCGACCACAACCCATGGAATCTGCAATGACGACAGAAGGCCACCGAGCTTCCGATAGCGAGCGATGTTGGCGCCGCGGAAGCCGATGCCGCAGTACCCGTAGAAAGCAACCAAGGCAAAAACGTAACCTTTCATGTGAACTATGGTGGCTCGGAAGCCGTCAGGTAGCGCAGCACGATCATGTTGTAGTGCTGCTGTATCGGCTAACGTCAGGGAATGCGCTTGAAGGTGCCCGCGAGTAAGAATCCACTCCCCGCCTTCATTGGCATGCCCATTCGTGGTCGCCGCTGGTGAGGAAGCTGAAGGCCTTGCTCCTGTAGCAAAGAGACGAAGCCCAAGCTTCCTGGCTGTCAGGTCGTGCTTCCGAAGATCCTGCTTACAAACATGGGTCTCAACGAAGGCGAAGAACTGAACAGCTGCACACTGGTCACGAATATAGGTCCAAATGCGATCGCCCATGCACGTGATGTTACCAAACACAAGCGTAGATGTCCCCTCTGCGCCTGAAACAGCTGCGTCATCAGCCTCGCGAGTCAAAATGGGAACAGGCAATGGGACAGGTGATCCCGAGGCAGCCGACGTCGAGGAAGAGGAAGGAGGAGGAGCCGACCTGCCGCTTGAGCTCCCCCGCGAGCTGCACGACCTGGCCGATCCCCCCGACGAAGCCCTCGATGGAGCCCTCATACTGGACGATGTCGACCCAGTACCTGGAAACCGCCACACCTTCGAAGGGCTCGGGAAAGTGGCTGCTGAAGAATAATCTGGTAAGCTTCCACAGGCCGCCGATGACGAAGACAACTCACCACTATCTTCGTGCATCTCGGCCTGACCTCACTGGCTGCCGGTGCCAGCGTTGGTGGCCGCCGCGGCATCTACGCCCTTGCCGTTGCTCTTGCCCTTGCGCTTGGCGGTCTCGGCGGCCAGCTTCGCCTGGGAGATCTTCACGGCCTCCTCCTTGACGGCTGCCTCGCGCGCCTCGCGCGCCCGAGCTTCCTCAGGGGTCTCGGGCGGCGGTGGCGCGGCCTCGGCTGACGAGGCCTCGACCGCCTCACCAGTGGTGCCGCCGCCCCCGCCAGCGCCCTCGCCCTCAGGTGCGGCACGCCTCTTCTTCTTGAGCCGCTCCTGGGCCGCAGACTTGACCTCGTTGGCCTTCTGCAGCCACTCCTTGATCTGCTCCTCGCGGTTGCCCAGCAGCTCGCGGGCCCCCTCCAGCTCCTTCTTGAGCTTCAGCATGGCCTGCCTCTCCTGCTCCTCGAAGCCGTCCAGGTCCTCGAAAAGCGACGCGTCCCAGGACAGGTTCAGCTTGGGCCCCGTGTGCGATGCCTCGGTCTGGGGCGTGGGACTGACGCCCTCGGCCGCGGCCAGCACACGAATAGCGTCCTTCTTCGCCGCCGCAGCTCGCACCAGAGCCACCGCCGCTGCCGACTCCTTCGCCTCGGCGACCTCAAGGGCCGCCCTGAGGCGCACGACCGCCTTGACGGCCTGATCGCGCTTCACTCCAGCATCTCGAAGAGCTGCATCAGCCTTCCGAGCCACTTCCACCTCAGAGGCAGATGGGACCTCCGCTGCCTTGGTGCTCAACTTGGCCAACTCAGCCTCGAGCGTGGCCTTCAAGGCGGGGTCCGTCGCTGCAGAGATGGCCGATGTGAGGAGAGATGACACTGACGGCTTCAAGATCGACTTGGGTTGACTGCTCCCGCCAGTGTCCGCCAGCTGGTTGTCCTCGAATGAAACTCGACGGTCGCGTGACAACGAGCGTGGCCTGTGCAGCTTGACCTGACGATTGCATTTCTGACATCGCCTGTCTCTCTGAAGCAGCTTCGCATTCCACTCGTAAGTGCCGCAGCCACCGCACTTGGACCACACCTTGTCTGCTCCTGCCATATGCCTCGGCTTCGCCGCCGCAACAGCCTGCCCTCGTCGGAGCGGGCGGTGCGGCGCCCCTCAAGCGCTGCGTGGAAGCGCCGAGGCAGGCGCGGGCGGGGAACGTAGGGTATGCAGAAGAGAGTGCCCTGCCCCCTGGGATCCGCTCGCGCCCCAAATTGCTTGAGGGGGGGGGGCGAGTGGGGAGAAGAAGGAGGAGGAGGAGGAGCAGGAGCAGGAACAGGAGGAGGAGGAGGAGGAGGAGGAAGGGAAGGGAAGAGAACATAATAAGGGGAAGAGGGAGGGAGAAGGAGGAGGGGGGTGAAATGGATGGAGAGTGGAAGAAGACGTAAGAGGAGGAGGAGGAGGAGGAGGAGGAGGAGGAGGAGAAGGAGCTGAAGGAGGAGGAGGAGGAGGAGGTAGAGAAGGAGGGGGACGAGGTTGAAAGGGGGAGAGGGTGATGAGAAGAAGGCGTGAGAGGATAAGCAAGGAAGAGCAGGATATGCTCGATGAAGGCGATTGGAGGCGGTGTCGAAAGGCAGGGGGTAGTGGAAGGAGATGGGTGGGACGGAGGGAGGGGGGAGGGAGCGAAAAAGGGAGGAGAGGCATTTGGAGGACGAGGCGGACCAGGACGGGTAAGCGGAGAAAATGAAGATGCAGGGCGAGGACGAAGCCGAGGAGGAAAGGAGGCTGAGGAAAAAAGGAGAAGCACAAGGAGAATAATGGTGTTGAGGAGGAGGAGGAGGAGGAGGAGGAGGAGGAGGAAGAGGAGCGGTACGTGGACGCTGGCGACAACGCTCGCGGGTGCGGCGACGACGACCACGACGGCGAGCAGGAGTTGCGCAGGTCTCGAGGCTTGGTCTGGTGCGGTAGGTTCGCGTCGCGTCGACGTGGCGGCGACCCGCGGCGCGGGCGTTCAAGGTTGAATGCCGCCGGTGTGCCAGAAGCGGCCGACACGGAACGGTCTGGCCATCGAGAAGCAGCCGATCGTTCCAGGCGGAGGGACCCACGCGGTGTGAGAAGCCAACGCTGAAGCCGCCACGGCACGCACCAGCCGTATCCGATGTCTCCTTTGGGGTCAGGCACGGCCGGGCTTCATGGCGCCCGGCCCCGACCAGCCGAAGAGGTTGGTTCACCGAAAGAACTCAGTGACCGAACACGCGCCCGAATTCTCCATCGGAAACGTAGTGCGACGGAAAGTGTGACCGAATTCGACAATCGCATCGGTCTCGAACCGGCATCTCTGATCTCTTTCGGGCTCAGCCCTTCCGAGAACAGGACAAAGACTAACATGGACACGCTTTCCTGCAAAGTCAAAGTTTGGTCGTCCAGTTAATTTTGTTGTGCTGCGCTTGGTCGTCCAGTGCATGTTTCTGTCGCTGCACTGGAGGATTCGGGTCTTTGTCCGGGTCTAGGGCAGGTTTTGCATGCTTTCATGGCCTTCGTCCAGGTTTTTCCGGGATTGTTGCAGTGCAGGTTTTTTGTCCGTGCCGCCCTCTTGTGCAGTGCAGTTGTTTGCTCGTGCCGCCGTCGTGAAAAGTTGTTTCGAGGTATGTTGGACGTCTCGATCTAGCGTGCCCGGGTTCACGGGGGCCCCGCCGGGCACGTCCCCAACAATCGTCGGGCGCCAGTTTCGGTCGCTATCGGGCAAGTCTTCAGGCGCACGCTCGGATATCACATCCGATCCGGATAGTGAGAGACTCGCAGAATGCCCACTCGCAAACGTCAGCCAAAAACACACACATGCTTGCCTCGAGGCAGAGGATCGCGAATCCCCCGCGCTGGGTCCAGGTCACTTGCGAGCAGTTACTTCGTGAGCAGTGGCACGCGCTTGTCTGGAGGCGAGGCTGCGTGACAGGCTGCTCGCACGGGGGGGGGGGGGGGCGGGGGGCGAAGATACCACCGCGCCCTGCGCGGCCCTCTGGGGCTGCAGAGGCCGCCCCCCCCTTTTTCGGTTCGCAGCGTCTGCGCGTGAGGAGCGTGCGCGGACGAGGCGCCGGTTCGCGCGCCTCTGCGCAGGAGGGCCAGGAGTCCTGGGCCTCCCAGTGAAGGGGGCCCGAGCAGATGTCGGCGGCGAGCGAGCAGGGGGGGGGGAGGGGAGGAGGAGGAGGCCCTCGCAGAGGGCGGCGGGGCGTCTCAGAGGCCCTCCGGGCTTCTGAGAAGTTGTCTGCGCTCTTGGGGAAGGCCTCGGCCTCGGAAACTCTTGGAAGGCTCGGGGACTTCCGAGCCTTCTGAGAGGGCCCGCCACTTCTCACTTCCCCCCCCCCCCCGCTCGCCGCCGAAAGATGGAATCTGAGGAGATGGGGTCGGAGGATCGCGCCGCATCCCCGATGCATCGGCGATGCGGCTCGATGTGGAGCCCGATGTTCTCCACGTCGACGTCGCCGGTGCATCGAGGACGTCCCTCGGACCCCGTGCGGGGGGCCTCCAAGAGGGCCACGGCCGCGAGGGAGCGGCACTCGCGGGGGGTCGCCCGCGGGAGGTCGCGGAGGCCAGGCTCGCCAAGGCCGAGGCCGAGCTGAACGACGCCGAGATGGAGCTGCAGAAGGTGCTCGACGAGGCGGGGCGGGGGGCTCACAGAAGGAGCTCCTCCTCCTCCTCCTCCTCCTCCTCCTCCTCCTCCTCCTCCTCCAGCCTCGAACTGATCCCTACCCTTAAGATTGGCACGCCAGAAGGCGACGACAATCTCAGGGATGCGCCCTCCAAAAATATAAGGGAATCCCTAAGATTGGCCTCGTGATGAGGAGGTGCCCAGCATAGGGATGGGGATATGTTCCAGGCTGGTAAACACCGCCAGTCTTGCTCATCGTCTTCGCCTCGTTCGGCCACCTGGGAGGCCCCCGCTGCCGCGGCGGGGTCGCCTGGAGATCCTGGTCAGAACGCACCCCGGAGAGCTCCGGGGAGTGGTGGCGGTATCGATTGGACTCCCCAGGGGCCGGGGCTCTCCAGGGCTTGCTGGTTGCGCGCGGGCTCTGGGCTGCTTTCCCGCCAGGCAGAGTGGGTAGATCGCGATCCCCGTGGCAGGGGGGCAGGCAAATCTGGGCAAATCCAGGTAAACCCGGAGATCGCAAGAGAAAGAGGGAGCAAATCGCGGCCGCTCCCACGCGAGTCGAGGGACGTCAGGAGTCGTCAAGCCCTTCACGGCGTTTGGCGCAAAGCTTGGTGCCGCCTGTGTGTGTGGGGAAGCCAAGAGGTACCGCTACCGCTACTCCCCGGACCTCTCCCGGGGTGCGTTCTGACCAGGATCTCGAGGCGAATCCAGCGGTGCCGACAAGGGTATCCCAGGAGGCCCAAAAAGGGCAAAATTGGGGAGGGGTAGAGCTATGGGCGCCTTTTCCTTCTCCGAGCGCGCCTCTGCGTGCGGCGCAGCTCGTTGCGCAGGCTTGCGCCGTGTGTGCCGTGCCGTGCCCATTGGGCGCGCCGCTTCCAGCCTCTCGGTCGGGGGGCCCGACAGTGGCCAGCGGGCTGCGAGACAGCAGCGGTCGTCCTGCTCTTCGCTTCCCGGCGCCGTGCAGCGCAGGCCCCCTGAGAGGACAACCTCGCCACAAGTCACTTGTCATGACTCAGGGGCGGCAAAGAGGGGGGTGATGACTAGGGGGGGGTGGGTATCATGGCGGGGGCCATGATATTTCCCCAGATTTCATGGCGCCTCTTCTTATTTCATTACGTCCCTGGCCCCCCCGCTGGGCCGCGCACATGCCGCTCCCGAGACAACCTCGCCACAAGTCACGACCGGAGCGTTGCAGTTTTGGACACCACCTCCGTGCGCCTTGCTCAAGCCAGACCGATCTGTGCTGTGACGGCCCCGGGGCCGGACACTGGACGAAGGTGCCCAGTGGGAAAAGTTGGGCAGCGGAGCACCTTCGGGGCAGCAGAGGCGGGGAGGCGCTGTCGAGGAGCAGGAGGTTGAGACACGGTCATGTGCACTGCAGCGTGTTTTTGCCAGGTGGCTGCGCCCCCCCCCTTTTCCTCCCCCTCAATGGTTAATTCAAGCTTCGCGCGGCCCGCTTAGCTTCGACCGGAAAAGGTGCGCTCTCGACTCGCGAATCAAAACAAAAGTGTTTTTGTTCCAGGTGCCGTGGCCGTCCGGACCAAGCATTTAGCTGGCCTTGCGGCGAAGGCGCCATTTCGGGGCCTGAGGAGACGGGGGTCCATGCAAACGGGGGTCAGCCAGGGGGTCGGATCTGGCAGGATCCTGCAGAGCCAGGGTGCACTGACCCGGGCGTGGGCTCAGGATCCTGCAGGATCTTGCAGGATCTTGTAGGATCCTGGAAGGCCTGACTGACCCGGGTCTGGATTGACCTGGGCCGGTAGATCCCCGATCCTTCATGAAGAAATTGTGAGGGAGTCTCATTGCGAAACAGCTGCCAGACCGTTGCAGGACTGGGCGGTCTTGTGCTCCCCGTCCCCCTTTATGGGACTGTTCTGGTGTCCAAAAAAAAACGACTCTTGGAAAATCATTCAGCGGAACGCTCGTACGGTCAGGATTTTTGGCTTAGCGTGTCGCTCCGCTTGTTCTGGCCCACTTCGTTTCAGTGCGATAAGCTATCCACATCCCAATCCTACGCGTCAACGTCCCGAGCCTTTCCGAGCCTCCCGCCTCTTTGTTTACTGATGTGCTGACAGGCGACGGAGAGCCACCAGCATCGTGGAAGCATGCCAGAGAAAAGGTTTTATTCAAAAAGGGAGGCCCCAAGCTTCCGCAGAACTATCGGTCCTATATCAGTCCTGCCGATATTGTACAATTTCTTCAGTCTGATTATTAACGACCGCGTGTGCCCGTATTTGGAGCCGGAGCAGTCTGTTGATCAAGCTGGTTTCGAAAAACCTTCAGTTGCGACGACCATTGTTTTACGTTCGTGTTGTTGCAGGAGAAGATGCGGGAGTACCATATGCCACTGTGGATAGCAGCAGCTGGTTTTGAAAAGGCGTTTGATTCTGTATCCCACGACGCCATCTGGGAGGCACTGCGCGCACAACACGTGCCAGAACAGTATATCCGGGTACTTGTTCGAGTGTACACCGGGCAAACAGCACATGTGGTAGCCGATTGCACAAGCCGCCTATACAAGTTGGAACGTGGAACTCGACAGGGAGACCCTCTCAGCCCGGCATTATTCAATGCACTTCTGGAGCACCTCATGCGGCGGCTGAAGGCAGAGTGGCGACAGAACCGGGTCGGCGCACGCATTAATCATGAGTTCTTGACCAATCTTCGGTTTGCAGACGACGTGTTGTTATTTTGGACCACGAGGGCGCACGTGAGGCGCATGCTCGGGGACCTGCAAAGATGTGGAGAAACGGTTGGCCTAAAACTACAAATGGGTAAGACTAAAATAATGACCAATGTGGAGTGTCGCCAAGGCGTCTTTCGCCAGCATCGCGTTCGTGCCAGCGGCGGCTACGTCGAGGTATTGCCGTATGATGGTGATACGATGTATCTTGGGATTGGTTTCGTTAGTGACATCCACGACCGGGAAATTGGGCATAGGATTTCCAGAGGTTGGGCCGCCTTCGGCATGTACATGACAGAGCTAACAAACACCCATTATCCGTTGAAGTACAGGCTACGATTGTTCAGTGCCGTCGTGGCGCCAACTGTTCTTTACGGCAGTGGATGCTGGACTATGACAGCTGAAAGAGAACACAGACTGAGAGTGGAACCTAAATGATGCGCAGGGTGGTAAATACGCCGCGGAGGTACTACGTGCTGGCGGACGGCAGCGTTGAAATGGAATCTTGGGCTCAGTGGATCCAACGTGCAACTCGCAGAGCCGAGTACCAGTTCCAGAAGTTTGGCATCCCGGTTTGGATAGAACAGCAACGGGGCCGGAAAGACAGATTGCGTGAAAAAATCGCTCAGTGCGGAGACCGGCGGTGGTCGAAGATATCGGTTGATTGGAAACTTGAAGGTGTCCGACTGACCGGGCGCCCCCGCAAGCGTTGGCAATAATGATTTCCACGAGGTTAGCGAGCCCGCCGCCTCCGTGGGCACGGGCGCGGGACACCCCCGCAGCGGTTCCTTCCATCCTTCCTTCCTTCCGCCCCGCGGAACGGAGCGACACGCTATCAGCTCGCAAGGCATAGTTTGTCGCCGGGGCCGCCGCCGCGAAACGCTAAGCAAGATTCCCACTACGGCGGGGGCGTTCGTTTAGGAATGCGCCCGGGAAACTGCAGGCCCTGGAGGATCCCTCATCCAGCGAGGGCGGCGGTGACAACCGTGGCCACTCCACGATTTGAGGTCCCCCAGCTTCCAGACCCTGGAACGCACATACGCCCAGAGGTGCAGGGCCAGGGGCCTGTAGGGCAGACCCTGGATTTCCATCGGGGCTGAACCTAGACGGTGTTTTTGGTGATTTCGTGGGCCGTTGTCGTTTCGACTTCGTTTTGCGGTAAAGGCGGATCCGAGACAAACGCGAGGGAAAACGAAAACAAAACGAAAACGAAACGCACCGTTTAGGTTCAGCCTTGATCTCCATGCTGGTGGCCGGGCACCTGGGCCCCCCCAGTACGCGCCAGGGGCCCAACAGCCATCGCGATGGCCCAGGAGAGATCCGAGTCGTTGAAGAGCCGCTCCGAGGCGCCCAAGATGGTCCCAAGACGTTCCAAGAGAACGCACAAGACGCATCGAGAGGCCTCCAAGAGCACTCCCAAGAGGCGCACGACACGCCAAAATTGCTAGATTCCCTTTATGGCATCGTGTATGTTTAGCGTATACGGTTCGTCTGCCTTCGCCGCGTCGAAGACGGCCCATTGAGCCCCCAAGACCGCCCCAAGACAGCGCAAGAGGCCCCCAAGAGCCCCCCAGGCGGCCCAGGAAACCCCCAAGACGGCCCAAGCGTGCCCAAGAGAGCTCAAGAGAGCCCACATATTGTCCCCAAAGTGGCCCAAGAGCGGGAGCCCGAGCCAACACGTGGAGCTTTCCGCCCCAAGATGTTCCGAGGAGCCCCCCAAGGACCCAAGAGGCCCCCCCAAACCCTCCAAGACGCCGCAAGGGGCTCCGAAACAGGGCCCGATAGGCTTCAACATTGATTCCAGAGCGCCCCCGAGAACCTTTACACGACATCCCAGCGAACACCCAAAAGACTTATGACCCACAACCCAGGCACGCTGGCGACTGGACCGAGGATTCTCGGAAAGACACACGAGGAGGAGAAGATGAGAGAGTGGAGGATGCGGCGACATGATGAGTAGAAGGAGAAGGAACGCCAGGAGGACGGAAGCCTCCAGAGGACGTGTCGATGGGAGCTGCGCCCCCCGTCCAGTCCGTGTGTCAATTCCTTGGTTCCTCATTCCATCCTGTTGCCTGCCTCTCCTGCCTCCTTCCCCTCAGATCCTCCTCCGATTATGCCTACCTGTCATGCCTCATGGTCCTCCATCCTCCCATCTCATCTGTCCTGCTTTCTGGCTGCCTCATTTCTCCGCTGTCCTGCCACTCATGTCTTTCCTTCTCCATCTGCACCCTCCCGCCTGCCTGGGCGAGGGGTGAGCACGCAGCAGCAGGCAGGGGAAGGCAAGAAGAGACAGGACGGGCGACGACAGCCACAAAGAGATTATTTAAGGGAGGCAGCGTTCACAAGGAAAGGGAATGGAGGTGGTGGAGGAGGAGGAGGAGAGTGAGGAGTCACACGTGATCCATCATCGACTCCCCAATGCCTGGAGCTACTTCGGTGCAGAGCGCGCGCGGAGCTCGCGCGAACGCGTCTGGCCATTATCCAACGGTTATGTATCCAATGCCCGCACCGGGGCGAATCTCGCAACTTCGGATCTCGGAGTGGAGGGAGGGAGGGGAAAGAGAGAGAGAGAGCGAGAAAGAAAGAGAGAGAGAGGGGGGGAAGGAGGCAGGGAGGGAGGGAGAGGAGGAGGTGGAGAGGCCTGTGTGCCAGGTTAGGTTCTTGTGAAACGGAGGTGGGGCGATCAACGTGGGGTAAAGAAACGTATGGTCCCGCGGTGACAGCTTACGTTTGCGGCCCCTTTCGGGGACATTTCCCTGCAATCTACAGACCCGCCCCCTTTGATTGACCCTTCGTGGGTGAGGAGGAGGAGGAGGAAGAGGAGGAAGAGGAGGAGGACAAGTTCAAACCCAAGATTCATCCTTGATGCTGGAGTGAACCCTCCCTCCAAGTTCCCTTTTCATATGCCCCTACATAGAGACATGTCCAATGAGGAAAATGCTCCGGGCTCCAACGCAACGAATCAACCTGACTTTTGCATCTTGACGATCTTGAATCGTGCGAGAACACCACCATTCCTGGGATCTCACCACCGCGAGTCAATGTAACTGTTGCGCCCTGACAGTCCTGAATCGTTCCAAAACACCAATCCTAGTACGCTGACCATGGGCGTTCGTAAAAATCTTACAAGAGTTTGACACGACGATGCGCGGCGCTAACGCGAGAGCCAACTTTAAAAAAAAAAACGCCCTTAATCCATGAAGCTCTCTGCAAAATGATCAAGACGAGTTTGTCTGCCTTCAATCCGTCAAGTTTAAGACAACTTGCGCGGCGCGTAGGCGAGAACCATATTTTGAAAATCACTCGCCCTCCATTCCATGTGTGAAGCTGTTGCCACTTCTCAACCCTCAGGATCAAAAGTGGTAAGGAAGTCTCAGGCGAAACTCTGGGCACGCCCTTTCTACTACTGTCGGGGCGCGACAGGAGAAGTTCTTCACACCGATAAAGAATCAAGGAAGAGAAGGAGGAGGAGGAGCAGGAGGAGGAGAGGCAGGAGCAAGAGGAGGGGAGAAATGGGAGGGGGAGGGGAGGAGGAGGGGCGCAGGGAGGAGGGGAGGGAGGAAGGAGGAGGGCGAGGAGGAAGGAAAATAGGTGAGGAGGAGAGGAGGAGAGAAGAGGAGGAGAAGAAGAAGGCGCAGGCGGGGCGGAGGAGGAAGAGAAGGTGGAGGCCGGGAGGAGGAGGAGAAGGAGATGGATGCCGGGATGGGGATGATGAGGAAGGAGGAGGAGGAGGAGAGGAGGAGGGGAGGAGGGGGAGGAGGTGGAGCAGAGAAGGAGAGGGGAGGAGGGGCGGAGGGGGGGGGGGGGAGGAGGACGATGAGCAGGAGGAGGGAGGAGGGGGAGGAGGGGGAGGAGGTGGAGGCCGGGAGGAGGAGCAGGGGGAGGAGGATGAGATGGAGGAGGAGGAGAGGAGGAGATGAGGAGGAGGAGGAGGTGAGGAGGTTAGGACGAGAGAGGGGAGGAGGAGGAGCAAAACGAGAGGAGGGAGAGGAGAAGGAGGGAGGAGGAGGAGCAAAACGAGGAGGAGGAGGAGGAGGAGGAAGGGAAGATTAGGAGGAGGAGGTGGAGTAGGAGGACGAGGAGGAGGACGAGGAGGAGGAGGAGGAGGAGGAGGAGGAGGGTGGTCCCCCGCTTGGGGTTGCCAGGTGGCGGCGCTCGACGCGGAGCTGGCGCAGGCGCAAGGCACGATGACGGCGCTGAAGGAGAGCGCGGTCCGCGCCCCGGGCGGGGACCGCGCGGCGCTCCGCAGTGTGCGCGAGGGCGCGAAGTTGGGCGGTCGAGACGACGATGGCGGCGACGACGACGACGACGGCGACAACGACGACGGCGACAACGACGACGACGGCGCCGACGCCGCCGCCGACGATGCCGACGGCGACGACGACGGCGACGACGACGACGACGACGCATGCTGCATCTCGTCCTCCTCCTCCTCCTCCTCCTCCTCCTCCTCCTCCTCCTCCTCCTCCTCCTACTCTTCCTCCTCCTCCTCCTCGTCCGCTTCCCGTTTCCTCGCCCAACTTCTTCTGCTGATCATTCTCTGATTTACGCTCGTCTTCTCGTCCCGTTCCCCCCCTCCTTGTCACCCATTTTCGTTTTCTCCTGGTCCCCGCCGCTCCGATCCTGGTCTGAGCCCCCCCGCCCCTCCTGCTGTTCGTGCTTGTCTCCCTCCTTCCTCCCTTCTCACCCTCATCATCCTCTCCCTCGGGCTCCTCCTTCGGCTGCCTCTGCTCTGTGACCTATGTGCCCCCTCTGCTTCTGCTCCTCCTCCTCCTCCTCCTCCTCCTCCTCCTCCTCCTCCTCCTCCCCCACCTGTACGCAAACGATATTACCCTGGATGTTTCCGGCCCTGTGCAGAAGCTTCTTGAGGATTCCCCCAAGATGCTGAGGATACTTGTAGGCTCTCTGGGGGGTCTGCGGATGCCTGCGGCTCGGAACAAGATGAAGCTCACCTCTAGCAACCCTCACCTTGGGCGTCGGGTGTGCGGACTGGTCCGATCCTTGGGATACACTTATTTAATCGCTTCGCTCATTCCGCCGGCCCATACAGTCTCATGTCTGCCGTTTGCCCGAGGGCCTGGTGTCAATGCGGCGCTTTGGGGGTTCCTGGGGCCGCTTGGGGGACTCCTGGGGCGCTCGGGGGGGCATTTGGGGGGCCTCCTGGGGCCGCTTGAGGGACTCTTGGGGGCCTCCTGATGGCCTCGTGGGGGCCTCTTGGGGCCTCCTCCGTAGCCATTTTGGCTCAAGATGACCAACACGCGGGGCATTCGCCCTGGTGGTCAAAAGGATACCGCTAATCCGCGGCAGGCAGATCGGTTTACCGTTCGGCAGTCGGGCGCACGACGGCGGCATGGGGCTGGCCGCGCTCGAACAACGGTTAGTTACTGGTCCTGCAGCTGCGGCGTGGCGGACAACTATGCTACGCGCAAGAACTGTCGGGGGTGTGGGGCCCGGCACAGCGCAAAGGACCGACGTACAAGGACGTGCTGTTGGGCCCGACGAAGCGGGAGGTTGCGCTCCAGAAGCAGGTGGACACCATGCGGGCACAGCTTCAGGGCATCAAGAAGCAGCAGCACGCCACCCACGAGGATGAAGACGACGAGAAGCCAGTGGACCTGGATAAGCTCTTCAGGTGGGCTCAATCGTGCAAATCCGAATGAGGAGACCAGTCCATTGAGTACCAGCAGGCGCAGGAGCGCTACATGCGGGCCAAGGACGCCAAGCAAAGCACGAAGCCGCACTCGGTCCAGCTCACCCAGGCACGGGCTGCCAGGGAGAAGCTCGAGAAGGAGGAGGCGGCAATCTATGGCGAGGTCAAGCGGCATCAGAAGGCAATGCAGGAGGCGCAGGAGAAGCTCGCCAAGAAAAGGGAGCAGCTCGAGGTCGCAAAGGCCAAGGAGTCGGAGCTCAAGGTGCAGGACGCCTCCATCAAGGGTAAAGGCTTCCTCACGGCGATGCAGAAGCAGTACGAAGGGGCCGTCGAAGGACGCGGCATCAGCAAGGAGGAGCACGAGCACGTGTTCGCAGCACTCGCCAGGGTGCTGGACAACGTCAGGGAGGAGCCCAATGAAGACAAGGACGGCATGGACACTGAAGAGGCTGGTGATGCTCCTGCTGGCGGCAGCAGCGGGGGCACAGGCGCAGCCAGAGGAGGGCAGGCTGGACGTGAGCAGGGACCTCAACTATCGCCAGAAGAACAAGAGTGGCTACATGCAGGTGGGGTGCCCGAGGACGCTAGCGAAGCACAGCGAAAGAGGTGGCTGGAGGTGTGCGCCAGCCTTGCGGAGCACAATAAGCGGGCCAAGCACTCTTAGCAGGCGCCGCCAGAACAAGTTCGAGAGCCTCACCCTGTGGACGTTCAACGGCTCGGGGTGGGGCACCATCAAAGAGAAGATCGAGAGCTCAGAGGGGGGCAAGCTGCAGTGCTACGCAGTGCAAGAGCATCGCCTCACGGGCGACAAGATCGCGGTCGTGTCGCAGAGCATGAAGGCGAAGGGGTACCAGTTTTGGCGGGGTCGCAGCGAACCCGACGATCGGACCAGGTGGAGAAGCAGGCACCTCAGCGGGCGTGGCGGTTGTGACGCCCAGGTGCATCGGCATGACATACACGTTTGGCAAGGAGAAGCGGGACCTGTCACCGCGAAACAGTCCAGGAAGGGCTGCAGCGGCATGGCTGTCGGTCGGAAAGGGCATCATCTACGCGTCGGTCTGCCTGTGGACGGCGGAGGGGATGTCGTTCAGGAACACGGAGATCATCAACAAGGTGATTGGCCAGTTGGAGGCGCTCGGCGCGCCGCGGATAATCGGGGGCGATGTCCAAGTGGCGCCTGAGAGAAGACGGAGGTGGAGAGCGTCAAGATGGTCAAGGGGCGGTTTGTTGCGTCAGGGGCCAGTTGCGGCACGTGCAGACATGCGTACGGCGTGAGCGAGATCGATTACATCATCGTGGCGGACACCCTCGTCAACCAGGTGATGTACGCCAGAGTGCGGGAGGAGTGGCCGTCGGCGCCCCGCAAGCCAGCGGGGCTCACACTCAGGCTCAAGGCGCAGGAGCGAATGGTCAGGGTCTTGGAGAAGCCGAAGAAGCTGCCAGAGCTGGGCATTGGATGCGCCCCAGCGCCGCCGCAATATCAAGAAATTGCGAGCTTCAGGTCGCAGGAGGTGGCCAACCAGGAGCGGAGGCAGTGCATGCAGACGTTGGAGCAGGAGGCCTTCGCAGCACGAGGACTCGAATGGGCACCCGATCACCCTGCAGCAGGGCGGGCCGAGGAGCCGACATGGAGGGTCAAGCCGCTAAGTTTCGGTGGAGCCAACGTGCCGTCAGCCGCCAGGGAAGCAGTCTGGTGGAGGTGGCTGGCGAGGACGCTACATAACTTGCAGGGGGCATACGCGAGGCTCAAGCAGGCGAGAACTGGCGACATCCAGAGGCACCGACAGGAGGAGGCAACCGCGCAGGAGCACCAGTTCATCATCACGCACCAGAGGACCAAGCACCTCAACGCAAAGGGGCAGGGCAGGTGGCAGGCCAGGTGCGGGCTGCTGGCCGCTGGGCGAAGCTGCAGCAATGGATGCAGGAGAGCCAGGGCAAGCTGAAGGAGCACGACCAGAAGCTGCTCAAGGAGAGGCGAGCACGCTGGGCAGACAAGTTGCAGGAGGCGGCAGCAGGAGCAGCTGGTGGTTTACACAAACTGAGCAAGGCTGCACAGGTATGGAGACCACGCAGGGCAGGCTCCATGGAGGACTCGGCGGACCCCATCGAGGCAGCGGGGTACACCCTCAAGGAGTGGAACGTGGTCTGGAGGGTCGGCGAGCAAATCCAGAAGGTGGAGCGGCCGTGGGAGCGCGAAGAACGTGACAAGCTCGAGCCCTTCACAGACCAGGACGTCGACAAGCTTAAGGAGGTAGCTCGCACCTTCAGGAAGAAGACGGGGGTTGGAGTCGACAGGTGGCACCCCTCTACGTTGCAGGGTGCGTCGGACGAGGCCTACGTCAGGCTGTTGGACTTCTACATGGAGGTGGAGCGGACGCTGCGCTGGCCCATCCACATGGGCACTGTGTTTTTCTTCATGACCCCGAAGACCTACACCGCGGACAGGGTCATCGGGCTGCTGCCCACTGCCATCAGAGTGTGGGAGATCATGCGAGAGCCGTACATGGTCGAGTGGGCCAAGAAGAACTATCGGAGTTGGGACTGCACGAGCTACGGCAAGGCGGCGGAGGACGCGGCCTGGGAGGTGCTGCTCAGCCATGAGATGGACGATGTCGAGGAGCAGAGCGAGGAGACGCAGGCGACGGTCACGGCGGTTCTGGACCTGGTAAAGGCATTCGAGAAGGTCAGCTTGCACTTGTTGTGGGAAGCGGGTAAGCAGCTCAATTTCAACACAGGGGTGCTAGCAGTGGTGTGCTCATACTTCGCCATGACCAGGCGCCTCATCGTAGGTGACTCGGTGTCCAGTGAGACCGAGACGGTCACCGCCATCATCGCGGGCAGCCAGTTCTCGGTCTGTTTCCTGAAGACGGTCATTCAGTGCACGGTGGGTGGCCTGGTGGTCGAAAGACCGAGGGCGCGCTGGAGGATGTACGTGGGCGACCTGCGCGTGCGGCTGCGACAGCAGCATAGGCACATAGTCACGGAGTTCGGAGAGACAATGGACAGCTGCTTCCGAGGCTTCGAGAGGTCAGGCCTGAAGTTATCCGTGGGCAGCAAGGACACATGTGCAGTGATGGCGGGCACCAAGTGGGCGCGAAGGGCCGTGACAGGGCCGATGCTGGAGCGAGGTTTGCCAGTGGTGAGGGCATGTCCATACTTGGGGGCCGACATCGTCACGCACGGCACGGCGGTGAAGACCAAGAGCGGCAAGAGGCACGCGACCATGAAGGTCAGGAGCCGTAGGCTGCTCGCTCTAAAGGGCGGGCGAAAAAATGACCAGGGGGTGCTTGGGCATGCCAGACCATCAGCTCCGACAGCTACGGCGAGAGGCAGGGCGTTTACTACCAGCCTCACCTTGCAGCTGGCAGTCGCGCAGGAGGAGCCTACATACGAGGTCACCGAGGCGCCCATAGTGAGGTGGGCGCGTGCAGTGTGGCATGGTGCACACGACGAGGATGGGGGATGTCAATGGGACAACATAGTCACCATGTTGCAGCGGGCATGGCGGCGGCAGCAGCAGGAGGTTGGCATGGGGCCTGCTTGGGCCCGAGTGCGAGGTCCAGCAGGGGCAGTCATCATGCCAATAAGGAGGGCTACGTGGACATGGCCCGCGTGGCACACTTTCGTCTCGAAGGAGGGCGTCGAATTGAACATGCAGGAGGTGTGCCACATGGACATCGCGGCGATGTTGCGCAAGGACGTGCAGGCAACCCTCTGGGAGGAATGGACGCAGGCGGCGGAGTTCAAGAGCCTGAGCCCAATGCCGTTGCTGGCGCCAGCGATCGCGCAGTTACGTGCACGTGGGTTCCCGAAGCACGCGAAGAACGCGGCGAAGAAGGTCTTCGTCGGAGGTGCGTGGACTATGGAGAAGCTGTGCAGGTGCAACATCGTGCCCACGGACATTTGCTTGGCCTGTGGAGAGGCGGTGGGCACCGAGCACCGCCGGTACTACAAGTGCGACGCGCTCAGGAGCCAGAGGCTGCAGGCGTTGGCGGGCTGGCAGCACGTGGCGGAACAGCAGGACACCAACATGCTGTGGACGCGCGGGCTGGTTCAGGTCGCCAGAGGCGGACTGGAAGTTCGTGGGTATCGAGGAGGACCAGTACTACGGACAAGTGGTCGACGGTGAGGAAGACTAAATCACAGGCGACATTGTCTGCGACGGCTCGAAGCTCGGATACAGCGACTGGGCGCAGACGGGCTGGGCAGCTATGTCCCTCAACGACAATGGCACTGCGAAGATGCAGATGTGGGGCCCGCTGCCGTGCTCGTTACCGATCCACAGGAGAGTTAAGAGAGCCGAGATGTGGGCCTTCCTCAAGGTGCTGGAGCGAATGCTGCCGCCAGGACGAGTCTATACAGACCACAAGGGCATCGTGGAAGGCTTGCAGAGAGGAGAGCGGTTGTGCACGAGCTGGAAACGTCCACACGCAGACCTGTGGCGAAGGATCTGGCACAAGGTGAAGGACATGGACCTTGATATTCACTGCGTGAAGCACGTGAAGGCCCACAGGTCCAAGAGCAGGATCGAGCAGCTTGAGGGCGAGGACCTGAAGATAGCGAAGGGCAGCAGTGAGGTCGACCTGCTGGCAAAGGCGGGCGCGGAGATGGATGCACACTACGGCAAGCACCATGCGCTGGAGGACCTCGCAGGGCGAGTGCGATGGGCGCTGCAGAACATTGGTTGGTGGTACCAAAAGATGGGCGGTACGTGGCCAGACGTGCCGCCAAAAGAAAAAGGTGTGCCGAGGCGAAAGGTGCCGAAGCCGATGCTGACCCTGACCGAGCACGACGTCGTGGAGACGGGCGGTTGGCAGGTGTGCATAAGGTGTGGTCTTCGTGCGGCGTCCAATCGGATGCGCCTGAAGATGTGGCAAGCGGAATGCGCACGACCACTCTGGCAGGCAACGGGTTCGAGCAGTGCGGGCACAGGCAGCTCGCTGGAGGCCAGCGTGGCTATCGCAGCGGCTGCCGCAGCCGCAGCAGCACCAGCAGCAGCACAGCCTGGAGAACGACACGAAGAACGTGCTGTGCCTGAGGAGCAGGGCAGGCCGCATCGTGTCGAAGTCCATGGTCCGTGCGTGGTGTGCGTGGTGCGCGGTGCTCACTCGGCAAGGCGTCGGGCGGGTCTGGGGGCAGCCTGCCCAGGCCCGCTAGCGCCTCGTGGGCGCTCCACCAAGGACGATGCGAAGAGGAAAAAGCGGGACAGGATTCTGACGGGTAAGAATCCGCAGAACGGCAAGCCGATGGAGCAGGGCGCCGTCCTGCCAGTGCGGCGAGGGGCTTGAGGAGCTGCTCCAGAAGCGGCCGAAGGGGGCGTTCAACTATGTGAGCATGGTGAACGCGGTGACGTCCGAGCTGGGGGCAACCAGCTGGACCAGGCCATCCTGGCCTGAGGTGTGCCGCAGTCTGCGGCGGACGAGCCCCGTGGCGGGATCCGCTGGGGGCTTGGGGGAGAAAAAAAATGCCTCTTGGGGCCTCGTAGGGGCTTCTTAGGGCCGGGGGCTCGAAATGTTGTTTCGTGTTCCCTCTTTGGGGCCCCTTTGGGGGCGTTCTTGGGGCCCTCTTGGACCGTCTTGGAGGCTTCTTGGGCCGTCTTCGAGCCCTCTTGGGCCATCTTGGGGCCCTCTTGGGGGCCTCTTGGGCCCTCTTGGGGCGATCTTGGGGGCCTCTTGGGCCGTCTTGGGGCGTCGGGAAGCCGAAAAGGTGGAAGCTCCAAAATTCTTCAAAAACCTCAGGAAAAGCAATGAATTTTGCCTCCGGGGGCCCTATTGGGAGTGCTCTTGGAGGCCTCTTGGGGCGTCTGGGGGCTATCTTGGGCGTCTTGGAACGATCTTGTGGCATGTCGGACCCCTCGTGTGCCATCTTGGGGGCCTCTTGGGGGCCTCTTGGCTTTTCTTGGGGCTCTCGGGGACGTCTCGGAGCCCTGTTGGTGCGCTCATGGGGCGCTCTGGTGACTTCGCCCGGGGATCAGCCGGGAGTCGCCCGGGGTACTCTTCGTCCGCGGACCCCCAGGGGCCGCCCCGCGCGCGCGAACTAGAGAATTGTTAACCAGTTACCGGAGATCTTAGCACGCCTCTGGCCCGTTGGGCCGGCGAATTGCAGCGCCCTCGAAGTCTTGGGTATTGACATTTCCTCAGGGCGCCCCCCTCGGTACGCCAAGCTGCGGTAGAGAGTGCGGGCTGTCGGTCGTCGGGTGCCAAGGTTCCGATCGGCGCGCCGCGTTGGCAAGTTGGCTGCGCGTTTTGTGCACCAGGCCATGCCGCCAGCCATGGCTTACGGAGTGGGAGTGCACGGAGTTTTCCCGCGGCTAGTGGCTAAAATGAGACGTATGTTTCGAAGCTCCTGGCATACTGTGTGACTGTAGGAGGGGTGATGGCAACCAGAAAGCACTGTAGAGGAAGCATCTTGTCGGCATAGCATCGGCATGATCCCGCCAGCTTTCTGCTACCATTTGTCCCACCTCCGCTTGCCGCCAGCTTTCTGTTACCATGTGTTTCCCCCCTCCGCTTACTGCAAGTTCGGTTGTTGCATCGACTCTTGATTGCGAATAGCAATTTTGCTGAGCAGTACTGGGTTTCGGGAGCAAGGGCTTCCGTAACCATTGTGGCTCAAGATCACACGAGTCCGCTGACTTGAACACATTCCGATCACTTCTTGCTTACACAGTCCTGCCGATATCGATTATTGTTTTGCATCGTCAGGCGTCTGTGCACGGTGATCTCTCCCAGAACGAGATTACGAGGGTTGAGCCCAAGCGGGGAGACTGACTTACAATTTCCTCTGTCACACCAAGGTCGTCCACAACAATTACCACAGCATGAGCTACAACCTTGGGGGTTACGTGCCGTGGAAGCCTACATGACCTGCGAGCTCTGCAATGGCACTGTGGCTGAAGTCTGGGTATGCCCGGGCTGCTACCGTGCTGGGCACGCACAGTGCCTCGACGCTGTGGTCAGTCAAGGCTACGCTTTCTGCAGCATGTGCAAAGAGTGGGCTCAGGGCCAGCACGACCGTCACACGACAGAAGTGCAACGCCAGCGTTGGAAGGATCGCTTGGCCAGTCAATTGACCCATTGGCGCGACGCCACGACCACGACCACGGGTGCACTCAGCACGGTGGGCCTGGCCATCGGAAGTTCGGGCGCGATTCTCGCCAGCGGCACCTCTGCGCTGGTCCGTGGTGTAATTGCCGGGGCCCAGGCGTCAGTCGGGGCAGCTTCACCAGCGCCGCCGGCCATTGCTCCGGAACCATCGAACACAGAGCCAGCACAAGCGCTACTACCAGGACCACAACGGCCGCAACACCTTCCACCACCTCTTTCCATTGCCCCACAAGCACACCAGGACGCAGCGACCCCGGGCGAATCCAGCGCGGGCGGCGGTCGGCCAGACTCTTGTCTGTCGATAGTCGCTCCCGTTGGGCGGGCCCGTAGCGAGGAACCGCCTCGTAGGCTGCAGCTGGGGAATCTGCAAGGGGCCACAGGTGGACTTCGTCCAGCCAGTCCCAGTGGCAGAACGCTCGAGAGGTTGTCGGTCAAGGAGGCATTCGAAGCAGGCCATTGTCTAGCTTGCCACACCGAGAACCGTGGTCACAATCCCGATTTGCACCGGGGTGACTGCATGCGGATGGGCAATCTTCGAACCTTTGCAAAGCTGGCGGGGCACTGCCTAGCGTGCCACACTCCGAACGAAGGGCACGTTGGGCACTTCTACCACGGCGACTGCCGCCGGACCCGCGGCGACGGCGCGGCACCTGCCAGTGGAGCTGCGCTTGCTGTTCAGAGCCCTCCACCAGCGGCGAGCGCACCCAGGCCACCATTCTCATTCGAGAGCGTACCTGACCTGGCAGAGGCCGCAGGGCCTCGAGGAGCCGAGGGTCCAATTTTGCAGTCGACCAGACTTTTGTCTGTCGATCGCGGGGGAGAGTCCGAGGCTCAGCTGAAGACCCTAAAGGACGTAATCGACACGCTCGCCAAGATGCGACGCGAGCTTGGTGCTCAGAACAGCCACATGGTGGAGCGGATGGAGGTGATCGAGCAGGCGCTTGCCACGATCCCGGTGGCCCACTCCCAACAAGCCGACGAGGTTGCAGACATTGCAGCAAGGGTGCGCCAACTGGAGCAGCCGAACGTGGAGTGGTATGCAGTGAACGAACAGTGGAACCAACGGCAGCAAGGAGAGCAGGGAGAGTTGGAACGAGGACTCGAGGAGGTCTTGGCAGGGGCCCCTCAGTTCGGATCGCAACGGGGAACACCACCCCACGGGAGCAGGACGGCGAGGCAGCGTTCGAGGAAGAGCCTGTGCAACAGCGTCGATTGGATCAAGTACTTGCAGTTGGAGCTGATGCACGTGGCCCTTCGGGCCTGTACCCATTGCCGAGTTCCTGCGCCGAGCCGACGATTGCGCCATCATCTTCTCCATCTTTCGGGATTCTTCCGCATCCACGGTCTGCAGGTGGGGTAGATTCACTGGTGAGCCAGGTCATGGTCCCGCCAGGGGTGAGGGACCTGAGGAGAAAGATGGACGAGCGGATTGTCGACTACCTCGTGCCCACAGAGATGACTCGGCCCGTCATCTTCAACCAGGGCCAACACCACCAGGATTCACAGCAAGCGTCTCACGGGCCTGCCGGAGGCATAACATCCCTTGTACCCCCGAGAACCCACATATTTCTAGGCTGTGGGCTGACCCGTCGCTGAATCGAGCCGTGCCGAACCTTGAGAGAGTGACTATTCACCAGTGCGCTTTTGGCACAAGCTATCGTGAGGCAACCGAGCTCCTCTTCCTGAATGTATTCGATTTATACTTTCTGAAGATGGAGTCCTGGAGATGCCGCTGTAGCGGGAAGCGCGGGTTTTGCAGTTTCCGGCTAAATGAGAAGCACCTTACCTTTGTGGGTAGTTCGATGACTAGCAAAGTTGATGCTTACCCTTCCAGGCTCTGTAATTTTCTAGCTAGCGCACTCCTTCAGGGTCATGTCTGATGCCGCTCCGCTGGCCCAGGGTCCTGTCCCCGCGGGGTCCGAGCCCCCGTGGGTTTTAACGCAGGGGGCCTGCCGCTGCGCTGTGAACTTCCGCTTTTGCGAAGGAGTCTGGACCTTTTTAAGCCGAGCCTTCCAAGCATATGCATCGGCCGGCTCTGCCATCAAACGTTCACCGCTGTAACATGAGTAGCATGTTTCTGCGTCGCAGGGTCTTGCTAAGAGTTTTACTTCTGTCGCTGTAAGGTTGCTCAAGCTACCCCCCCGACCTCACCCGCCTGAGCGCTCCCTGTGGGAGTAGGGACCTCTAAGCCAAGCCTTCCAAGCATATGAATCGGCCGGCTCTGCCATCAAACGTTCACCGCTGCAGAATGAGCAGCAGTAGTAGAATATTGCATCGGAGATTCCCCCCCCCGAGGGCGACGACTCACCAGCGGGGGTGAAGTACGAGAAAAAATGCAAAGAAGAACATTGAGGCTAAGAAGGAGAAGGAGAAGCACAAAGAGAAGGAGAAGGCTCGTCCCGAGCAAGAACTCACAGGCGGCAGTGTTACGGAGGATGGGATGAATGAGCTCTCCAGCACTACGCCGGCCTGCGTTGCGTAGGACGCGGGCCATCACGAGTGCATGTTCGATTGGCTGGAGCTTACGGTGCTGCAGATGGTGGCGATGGGTTCCCAATATAGCGTTGACGATTTCGGGGCGGTGGACAAAGCCCTGAAGCAGAAATTCATTGCTTTGGGTCACCGCGAAAGCGGACCAGTGCAACGTCTTCTTGAGGTCTCTCGCCGAGCCGAACGTTTTCGTCTACATCTTTGGTGTGAATTCCTATGGCATCACGGGGCCAGGTTTAACTTCCTTGACGGTTTCGTGGGCTCGGCCTGGTTTTGCTCCTGATGTTTCACGTCTGCTTCGAGTGGTGCCTCGGTTCAAGCCTCTTTCCCCCCCTGCGCGGGTGCCTCTTTGCGAAGTCGTGTGCAGCAGTGACCCACAGCAAAAAAAACTCCTCTTGCTGCTCCTCCCCCTCCTGGCATCCGCCTCCTCCTCCTCCTCCTCCTCCTCCCTCCTCCTCCTCCTCCTCCTCCTCCTCCTCCTCCTCCTCCCCCTCCCCTCCTCCTCCTCCTCCCCCCCTCCTCCTCCTCCTCCTCCTCCTCCTCCTCCTCCTCCTCCTCCCTCCTCCTCCTCCCCTCCCCTCCTCCTCCCCCCCTCCTCCTCCTCCTCCCCCCCCTCCTCCTCCTCCTCATCCTCCTCCTGCTCCTCCTCCTCCTCCCCCTCCTCCTCCTCCTCCGCCTCTCCTCCAGCTTCCCCGCCCCCCGCCCCTCGTGCCCCGCAGCCGGGCGCCAGGGCAGGGAGCGCCTCTCCGCCGCGAGAGGGCGCCCCCCCTCCGCGCGGGGCGCCCCTCGCCCGGGGGGGCGCGGGGCGCCCCTCGCCCGGGGGGGCGCGGGCCGCCCTGCTCGCGCGCGCGGTCGCGAGCGGCCGCTTCGCAGTGCCGGCGTTGGCGCGAGCCGCGCGGCGCCGCGCCGATCTGTCTTCGACTAGACGTAAGAGTGACCTTTCGCCGGAGTGACCTTTGGCGCGGGCACTGATGGGTCCCCAGATGGCTGAAAACGAAGCAGGAGCAACGGCTTGCGCGCCCAGGTTTGGTCCCCACGCGGCCCACAAAAAGCCGCGCACCAAAGGTCACTCTTACCCAGGGTCACTCTTGCGTGTAGCCGATGTCTGGGCGCTTGAGATGGGCGCGGAAAGAATGGGTACAATGCCCAACAGCAGTTCCTGTTCATTGTGAACAGGATTCGCCGTCCACGCCGCCGCGGCCTGTGTCCATCCGAGACAGGAGGCCGCCCGCCCAACAGCGGCCGCTGTTGGTTTGGGACAACAAACATTTGTTGTTGGGCGTTGTACCCATTCTTTCTGTACCCATTTCGGGCGTTCAAAATCTCGGGGTCAGAAAGTGCACCGACACCGCCTACGCAGCCAAGTCGCCGAAATCAGGAACAGGTGGGGATCAGCACGGGCTCGGTGTTCCTCGGGTCCTTCCATGGCTGTTTCTCTAGCCGCCTCGTGCCCCCAGTCGCTCTTGGAGTCAAAAATGGGTCGGCCGTGTGCGCAGCAAGCCGGTGTCGAAGCTCTCCTGCCGTAGCATGTCGGCGGCGAGCGAGGGGAGGAATGAGAAGGAGGAGGCCTTCTCAGAAGGCGGCGGGATTGAGCAGTTCTGTGTGTCGTCGGAGACGGCTTAGATAACTTCTCACAAGACCGTGGGACTTCGAGCCTTCTTCTCACTTCCCCCTTTCGCTCGCCGCCTAGCATGTGCCCAGGCCCTCGCTGGCGGCTTGCTTGATGATGCACGCCTCAATCCAGGAGTGTCTGCCGTCTCTACATTCAGCTCTGCCTCTCCTCCGCCTCTGTCTCCTACAGCGGAAACCCTTCCCAAGAAGCATCTTGCTTGCCTCCAGGGTGCCCTGGGCTTCTTGGGGCTCGATGGCTCTGCTGTGGAGAGCGTGGCGCTCCCGCACCCAAAACCATCCGTGGACGCCCTGGGGCCTCAGGGTTGGACCTCTCGTGGGAGGTTTCTTGTGCTCGAGCCCCTCACTCTGCTCCTCCTCCTGCTGCTCCCCT